GCCCCCCCCCATGTCCCCACGTCCCTCACGCTCTGCCAGGCGATGCCCCCATGTCCCCCCCCATGTCCCCATGCCCCTCACGCTCTGCCAGGCGATGCCCTCCCGCTGGTACTCGGCCTGCTCCTGCCGCAGGATCAGCTCGATGAAGAGCTGCTGCAGCTTCTCGTTGCAGTAGTTGATGCAGAACTGCTCGAAGCTGCGGGCAGGGGGGTCAGGCCGGCCACCGCCACCCAGCCCCACGCCATGTCCCCTGCACACCCTGCCCTGCCACGTGGCTCCCCGAGCCACATGGTCCTGCCGGGGACCTCCTGGTCCTGTCCCTCCATGCGTACCTTGCGGTCCTGTCCCTCCTGGGTCCCATCCCCTCCATGTGCCCCTCCTGTCCCTTCCACATGTCCCTCGGGCGTCCTCCCCTGCTATGTGTCCCTCCCAAGCCCTGTCCCCTCCATGTGTCCCTCCTGGGTCCCATCATCTTTATGGGTCCCTTGTGGCCCTGTCCCCTCCTTGAGTCCCCCCCGGGTCCCGTCCCCTCCACATGTCTCTCCTGGTCTTGTCACCTCCATAGGTCCCTCCTGGCTCCCATCCCCTCCCTGTGTCCCTCCTAGGTCTTGTCCCTTCCACATGTCCCTTGGGCATCCTCCCCTGCTATGTGTCCCTCCCAGGCCCCGTCCCCTCCCTGTGTCCCTCCTGGGTCCTGTCCCCCCATATGTCCCTTGGACATTCTCCCTCTCAAGCCCCGTTCCCTCCCCGTGTCCCTCCTGGGTCCCATCCCCTCCCCGTATCCCTCCCAGGTCCTGTCCCCTCCCTGCGTCCCTCCTGGGTCCCATCCCCTCCCCATGTCCCTCCCAGGTCTTGTCCCCTCCCTGCGTCCCTCCTGGGCCCCCGTTCCCCCCACGCATCTGTGCTGGGATGTACAGGGCTATATGGGTTTGTACTGGGCTGTGCTGGGCCATACAGGGCTGTACTGGTTTGTATTGGGCTGTGCTGGGACGTACAGGGCTGTACTGGTTTGTATTGGGCTGTGCTGGGACGTACAGGGCTGTACTGGTTTGTATTGGGCTGTGCTGGGACGTACAGGGCTGTACTGGTTTGTATTGGGCTGTGCTGGGACGTACAGGGCTGTACTGGTTTGTATTGGGCTGTGCTGGGACGTACAGGGCTGTACTGGTTTGTATTGGGCTGTGCTGGGACGTACAGGGCTGTACTGGTTTGTATTGGGCTGTGCTGGGACGTACAGGGCTGTACTGGTTTGTATTGGGCTGTGCTGGGACGTACAGGGCTGTACTGGTTTGTATTGGGCTGTGCTGGGACGTACAGGGCTGTACTGGTTTGTATTGGGCTGTGCTGGGACGTACAGGGCTGTACTGGTTTGTATTGGGCTGTGCTGGGACGTACAGGGCTGTACTGGTTTGTATTGGGCTGTGCTGGGACGTACAGGGCTGTACTGGTTTGTATTGGGCTGTGCTGGGACGTACAGGGCTGTACTGGTTTGTATTGGGCTGTGCTGGGACGTACAGGGCTGTACTGGTTTGTATTGGGCTGTGCTGGGACGTACAGGGCTGTACTGGTTTGTATTGGGCTGTGCTGGGACGTACAGGGCTGTACTGGTTTGTATTGGGCTGTGCTGGGACGTACAGGGCTGTACTGGTTTGTATTGGGCTGTGCTGGGACGTACAGGGCTGTACTGGTTTGTATTGGGCTGTGCTGGGACGTACAGGGCTGTACTGGTTTGTATTGGGCTGTGCTGGGACGTACAGGGCTGTACTGGTTTGTATTGGGCTGTGCTGGGCCATACAGGGCTGTACTGGTTTGTATTGGGCTGTGCTGGGCCATACAGGGCTGTACTGGTTTGTATTGGGCTGTGCTGGGATGTACAGGGCTATACTGGTTTGTATGGGGCTGTACTGGTTTGTATTGGGCTGTGCTGGGCCATACAGGGCTGTACTGGTTTGCATTGGGCTGTGCTGGGCCATGCTGGGTTACATTGGGCTGTGCTGGTTTGCACTGGGCTATGTTGATTTGCATTGGGCTGTGCTGGGTTTCACTGGTTTGCACTGGGCTGTGGTGAGCTGGGCTGGTTTGCATTGGGCTGTACTGGGCTATACTGGTTTGCACTGGGCTGTGGTGGGCTGTTCTGGGCCATGCTGCTTTGCATTGGGCTGTTCTGGGCCATACTGGTTTGCATTGGGCTATACTGGTTTGCATTAGGCTGTGCTGGGCCATAGTGGTTTGCACTGGGCTGAGCTGGGCTTTGCTGGGCTGAGCTGGTTTGCATTGGGCTGTGCTGGGCCATACTGGTTTGTGTTGGGCTGTATTGCACTGCATAAGGCTTCACTGGTTTGAGCTGGTCTTTACTTGTTTCCACTGGTCTGTACTGGGTAATGTGGGACCGTGCTTATTTGCATGCTCAGGGCCATACTGGTCTGCCTGGGGCTGTACTGGTGCACAGTGTGCTGTGCTATACTGGTTTGCATTGGGCTGTGCTGGGCCATACTGGTTTGTGTTGGGCTGAGCTGGTTTGCATTGGGCTGTGCTGGGCCATACTGGTTTGCATTGGGCTGTATTGCACTGCATAAGGCTTCACTGGTTTGAGCTGGTCTTTACTTGTTTCCACTGGTCTGTACTGGGTAATGTGGGACCGTGCTTATTTGCATGCTCAGGGCCATACTGGTCTGCCTGGGGCTGTACTGGTGCACAGGGGCTGTACTGGAGCATGGAGGCCATACTGGTGTGTGCGGGGGCATACTGGTTTGCCCAGGACCATACTGGTCTGCCCAGGACTGTACTGGTGGCATGGGGGCCGTATTAGGGGTGGGGGGGCCTTACTGGTGTGCGGAGGCCATACTGGTCTGCCTGGGGCCATACTGGTGTGCGGGAGCTGTACTGGTGTAGGGGGTCTGTACTACTGAGGGGGGGCCCGTACTGGTGCTTGGGGGCCATACTGGTGTGGAGGGGGCTACTGGTCGGCTACTGGTTGGGGGGGGCCATACTGGTCTGCCTGGGGCTGTAGCGGTGTGTGGGGGCCATACTGGTGTGAGGGGGCTATACTGGTGGGGTGCAGTGCGTACTGGTGTGAGGGGGCTGTACTGGTCAGGGCAGGGGGGAGCGTACTGGTTTGCCCAGGACCATACTGGTGCGGGGGGCCATACTGATCTGCCTGGAGACACACTGGTCTGCCTGGAGACATACTGGTCCGTCTGGGGACATACTGGTGCATGGGGAGGCATACTGGTCTGCCTGGGGACATACTGGTGCACCTGGGGACATACCGGTCCACCTGGGGACATACTGGTGCTCGGGGAGCCATACTGGTCTGCTTGGGGACATAGTGGTGCGTGGGGAGCCATGCTGGTCTGCCTGGGGCCGTGCTGGTTAGCACTGGTCTGTACTGGGGAGCACGGGGCCGTACTGGCGGGGGCCTCACCAGGTGCAGGATGGCGGCCAGGATCCGGCGCACGGAGCCCATCTCCTCCGGGGAGAAGCCGATCACGGCCATCGCCTCCTCCACCGCCCGGTAGCTGGCGGCGGCGTCCCCGCCGGCCCGAGGGCCGGGGG